ACACACACACACACATACACACACACACACATACACACACACACACATACACACACACACACATACACACACACACACATACACACACACATATACATTCCATAATCACGTGATTCCCTTACATGACACTATTTCCCTTTCGGCTAGATAGCCTTGGCGCACCACCACCCAGCTTATCTGGGCGGTGCGCACCACCTTTGATCCCCACCACAGTATCTCACTGTAGTGGGCAATATACCCTTGTCACACCCAGGTTCGATCCCTCTTGTGCCGGTTCCCCTACACTATACTGTGGCCCTTCGAATCCCGAACGCGTGTAAAGGAGGGGTTCCTGCAAGTGACAGGCACATGCATGTTGAATTATTAGATTCTACTGTTGTATATTGGTGGATTTATAGCTTACTGAAGTTGAGATGTATGCAGACAATAGCACGTCGGAAGTGCGGGGTCGGTGTGCTACAAAGCTACCTCTAGACCACATGGGACTCCTCTGGACTTTCGAGGTGCTTCTGGAATTCTACCCACAGCTGATATGTAGAATCTGATCTTGTTATAGTGCCATTGATAGCTTGTGGATCAGCTGCTGGGGAGTTGCTGGGCCCTATGTATTGCGACGACTGCTGCTGAGGTTCAGGATCTAATTGTACTGGATTGTCTGCATGGCGCGAACCTCCCCGCCGGGTGACGGGGTCCAGCTCACTGCGAGCTTGTAGAACAGCTGCCAGGGAGTTGCTGTCGTGCATCACCGGACCTGAATTGGACCTCTGGTGCAATACATCTGATGGGCTCGTTGAATCCCCTGGGACTTCATTCTGATCTTGAAGCAATGAGAGAAGAGAGGCTTCAATGTTCAGCGAGGGCTGGTGGTGTATTGGCGAGGATTCTGGCGAGGATTCTGGCGAGGGTTCTGGCGAGGGTTCTGGAGATGGTGACAGTGAAGGTTGACGTAGAATATCACGCTCCCGTGACTCGTTTTGAAGTTGCCGGGTAAAGTCATCGAAGGATTTAGTCCAGCGCACAGCGAAATCGCTTATCCCAGAACGGCTAACAGCCACACTAGTTAGTAGGCAGGTCTTATGAGATGTAGGAAGATGGGGACCAGTATGCTCCGGACTGCATAGATGTCGAACTTACATGCTCTCGGTGAAGGAGTTTCTTCGACTTGAGAAATCGCGATCGTGAACGGATCCGGATTCGAGATCTACATCATATTCGGTAAATTGCTGACTAAGTTCAATAGTTTGCGTTGGTGGCGTTGAACTCCAGAAGGGTTTCTTCAGCTTAAGCAAGGTTGAGGAAGCTCGCGATCGTCGTCGTGACATTGCAAGACTAATTGCTGAAAAGAGTAGCAGACGGTAATTATGTACACCGGCCGGGCTATAACGGACAAACGAAGAACAGAATAGATCAGCCGTAGCAGGCACGCAGGGTAGGTAAACGGCAGACGGTTGACTTCTAAGTTGGGGAACGTGGGAATATGAAATGGAAACTGGGCCATGGACGACAGGAAGGTTTTCACTTGGTACATGGGGGTGAGATAGAAACCCTTAGAATAGGTATTCCAAAAGTCATGCGCAACGCCGGCGGCAAACCACAGGGCTGCATCCAATCAACTATGGGAGCTGCAGCAGCCTGCAAAGCCACCTTACCTTGGTTATGTACACAGTGCGCACCTATTCAGCTCCCACTCCAGCATTTCGGGCTGTGATTGCACCATCACCTCTCTGTGTGATCACCGCCTGGAATCTGATACTGCAAGACGAGGTGGGGGCACAGTTCGAGGTCGCCAAGACGACACTTTCATCCATGCACATGTGTCATACGATACGCACGTAAATGCGTCAGCCACAGGGCAAAACTCACCAATGGTGATGCCGCAGGCAACATTAAACACGAGGTCCTTCGTGCACGGCGGCAGGCCGGAACAGTACGACGCCGCTGCAGAGCAAGGGTAGTCGACTTGATAGGTAGTCTGCCGCTACCAAGTATCACTGGAAAATGTTCGTCCTGACATGGCACTTGGTACGGTAGCGAGAACTACCTGCTCTGCATTCGACATACCGTATCTACTTGTACTGATTTTTGAGAGACAGGTTGGGGGTGGCTAGATTGAGGCGGTGTACGGAGAGGAACAACCTCGGGCCGGGTGATTCGCGAATCAGATAGCTAAAAGGGGGGCTGCATGTGGAGTAAAAAAACCGCTCATGTAATCACGAGATTCGTGGCTGGTGTGGCTAAGACTCAAACTCAGCCACTTTCAGCCGCCCCCAACCTGTCTCTTGAAAATCAGTAGATACTGTACCAGCCAACAAGCCTCATGATGTCATAGCATAGGCAGCAACTGTTCCTACAACATTGATAATTAGATGAAGCTGGTCGGTCCAGATGTCATAAACAAATCTGGCACTTAAGCTCACTAACCCTAATCGATACCACCACCATCATCAGCATCTTACCTTGTCCCATGCCTTCTTCAAACAACATCACGATATTCGCGCCCAACGGTACCTCATGGAATGAAGTAGGCGAGTTTATTTGTGTTCAAGCAGGGTGGCTTCAAGTTTCAAAGTTCATTATCCTCTATTATGTGGCCCAGGCATTCACTATCGTAACCAGACCTGGAGAGGGCTTTGCACAGACTATATACAGTTGTCTCCTTGCCATATTCTTTCCTATCACGGCTTTAAGTCGTGGACTGGATGCAATTTGCCGCCGAGCCTCGTTCCATGGCAGCCTAAAAGACATACTACTTGGACTTATTGGTGCTGGCGACAATAAGCACAAACTGCGTACAGCTATACGTGCAGGGGCTGTCGGTGTCTTGATACGAGAACACGATCATCCACAAAGTGAAATGAACTTTAGTAACATCGGAAGAAAATGGAGTCCAGGTGCAAGACTTCATGACTATGAAAAGTATAGCAACCAATCCCAGAAACTTACTCAGGACAATCGCTAACGCGCACATAGAGACGACACAACCGAAAACGACCCACGAGTCCAACCCGTATACCGGATTGACATATCAGGAGAACCAAAGGGACCCGTGCACTCACTAAAATGGCGTCACATCGCTGGACTTGTGTCTAACCAAGTGCAAAACACTGGCTACTTCTTTGAAGAACACCCCATTACTTCTATTGGCAAAGTAAACTTCGATAACTTAGACAAGAAATCGTTAGAAATAGCCCAGAGCTCATCCCTTCTTAAAATTCTTGTCGCTCTGTTTCAAGCGGTCTACGGCATTGTCGACCTGATATACTACAGTACAAACCGACATCTTTTCCGAGAATATGGATACTCGCTGTATTTGTATACTACTTTTCCGTACCTGTTTACAGCGATTATCAACCTATTGGGCAATTTAGCGACTCCTACGTATCCAACCGTATACCTCCTCCGGAACACGGTCATGAGCGAAGCGGAGAGTCGGAACTCGAAATTTGAAGCTTGCGTCATTGGTGAGCTGTTGCCCCTTGGAGACGGTGAGCTGTTGCCCCTTGGAGACGAAGTGGACAAGCAGCCCTTGGAGATTGCGAAGGCGCATACAGAAGAGGAGGACCACGAATCCAGAAGTAGAACACATGTTTGCTTCGACGCGGACTGTACAGAACGCACGAGCCACACCTCTCTCAAAGTTAGATCTGGACGGCTAGAACAGAAGCCTGAATACAATCTACTCTACGGAACGATAATTCAAATAATCGTTATATCGCTCTTTGTCGCGATTACCGTTGGGCCTTTTATTTATGCAGCGATCAAATACCCTGTTACGCAGACCTGGCAGAGGAAGATTGTTCCTCCTCTCAGGGCTACCTTTGTTATCCTCATTGGGTGGGTTGTCTCCTGGATCGACGATGATAATCCTGTTATTTTAGGATTATTGAACGCCTTATTTGAGAAAGGGAAGAAGAGCGAGGCAGGAAACTACATCACAAAAAATTGGACAACGGTGGTGCTTTGGGCTCTGTCACATGGAATTGGGATCGCTATTTTCGCATGGAATGTCTCTCTAGTGAGTGATCAGATTATCAACGTCGGGAGTTGTAAGAGAACAACCGGGCTGTAGAGAGACCAGCCACAAAGCTTCGCCTTCACAGGAGCTGAGTCTCACCATTTTACTACCCATGGAGTTCGATGTGACTCCTTTTTAGATACTCAAATATATGTGTGCGAAATGATATTGCTCTGAAGACTCAGCTAAGGTTTAAGCATTGAGCCTACTTCTGTCGGGAAACAGGTAACTGCATCGGACAAATTAGTACTAATAACACCAAATACAGAAAACATGAGTAAACATACCGGATTTAGTCTTTTGGGATTTGACCATCCGGCTCAGGACCCGTCCTGTCCTAATCGTTCCAAAATGCAGTTTACAGAAGCCAAGATCCTGTCTTCAAGCGCTGGCGCTAGGCCTAAAACGACCAGCCGTTTTGTATACCTCAAATCCTGATCCCAGAAATACCGAAACAAGAACCCGATAAACAGTTTCCAGAACCTGTCACCTGTCAGGGGTCCGAAGGGAACCCCCACCAGCCAATGAACATCCGGTACAGGGAAGCCCTTTTTGGTTCTAGGCTATATTTAGTAAGCCAAAAACCAGACACCCGTTTCGTGCATCACCAGAACTGGAATCTGGGTACTGAAAGTTACTTATGGGATCTAGGAACATTCGAGCCTCGGAGCCGCTGGGCTCCATTTTCAAGTTTTGAGAATAGACGTCTCGATGGAGTTAAATGGACAGATGCCTCGAATAGAATGTCACCCTACAACCATGTCGCACCACAAGTCGCAATCACGCGTACAGTCTAAGGCCAGGCGGGCAGCAAACAACAACTATCTAAAACTATGCTCGACCCTTTATGAGGTCTTGGGAAATTATGTCTCGAATACGACGCCGAAATCTATTTTATAGCGAGACGCAACGGCCGTATCACAGGATTCATATCTCCAGACGAGGGGGGAGAACCTTGGTCCCCGCCAAGCCAGAAATCTCTTGTAAGCTCCTGTCCTCCTCTAGCATCCACCACTGACATCTCCCAGAGCACGATGTGTCCCCCACCAATTCTCAAGTCACCAGACAACTGTCGTCGAGCGCGACGTAAACAGGCAAAAGCGACCTCGCGTGAGAGTCATAGCACCCCCAGCTCTTCTGAATGCTTGAACTTACATGGCGAGAGGAGCAAAGAGGCGGAGACGAGAATTGAACTTTAACCGTATCCTTCTATAATTACGCACGAGCTTGGTGCTATAGTATGAGAAAGATTCATTGGATTTGCGCTCTGTGAGCCTGGAAAACATATTAATTCACTTCAGGCGTATTGGCTCGTCCGGATGGTATTAGCAATGTTGAGTGGACGAAACGGTTTTGTGCAACGCTAGTGGACACGTTAGTCGATTGGTTCATATTCGAAAATCTGTAGAAGTTATTTCTGCCAGCACTCTGCACACCAAACCCATTCACATTTCCAACACAAACGTGACGTTTTCTAAAGTAATGAGTTCCCATGGCATTTGGAACATATGGATCTCCTCAACAGCGGCTCGATACTGTGTCGGTAAGAGTAGGCCATGGAATCTTAGCCGGTGAGCTTTCCGATGTGATTCCAGGCGTAGGGTTCCGTATCAGGCTTTTGTGCCGGCAGAGGTTGATGATTGAACAGAGCCGAGATCTTCGGCACCGTGATGTAACAAGTCTTACAGGTGGAGCAGGGACAGGCCGGAGTACTTCTACTATTATTAATATAGATAGTTCTATAAGTATAGTTAGCTATAGCTTACTTAAGTATAAGTAGTAGTAGGCTTATAGCTTATTTATACTATAAAAGTTATATAAAGGTTAGTACTAAAAAGGTAAATTTAATAAGTATATTAGCTAAGTATACTACTAGCTTAATAATCTAATACTTGTGACGGTTGATCTAAGGATCAATCACTATCGAATGGAGAATCACCAATATCAGATCAGATGGCTTTCACTACTGAATCAGATGAGGATAAAGGCCCTTGCGCTGCTGCCCGGTGAATGGCCTGTGCAACAGCCCGCGCAGCAGCTGCCTACCTTACTATATAAGGACCTTTTCCTCCTGCCCTAGATAGCTTAGTAGCTTATTGTCTTCAATTCAACTTCGGTAATCTGATTGCAACCACTTGATCCTTTGATCAATCCAGTTCCCTAGGATACTGATCCGTGACAGGTAGGATAGTAAAAATAAAATATTATAATATAAAATATACTTCTAAAAGGTAAGAAGGTATAATAATTAATAAGGGTTAGTGTTACGATACCAGAACCTATGAGGGCAGAGAAGGCATCAAGTACTTGGGACGGAAGTCGGAGATCGTGGCCAGAGGGCTCGATGACACCCAAGGACCAGTCAC